ATGTTAGGGCTTAATTTCTTTATCTCATTCTTAGCCTGCACCAGTCAATGATATAAACCACAGTTGTTTAATTCTCCTACAATGCAATTTAAGATAATACTCTTTTCTTCCTTTAGAGTGAATGAGAGCCTGTTACCATCACTCAGCTGTGAGTCCATCAGTTCAGTGGGACCTGCCCCAAGCCCCAGCATGCTGAGTGCCTCTGTGCAATGTTTGCTGCCCAAGGGCCATGGCTGGCTGGAGCTGTACAGACTCACTTGTGTGTGTACACCCGTGTGCACTGTAATTTATATCAGTGCAGAGTTTAGATTCTGTATCATGGTTGAGTTTTTCACAAGGAGCTTTCTGAGCAAAGACACTTAATCATTTTCCATTTTGGAGTTTGTATTATAAATCATCTTTTGACTGGTTTCTCCTTTGTAGTTCCTGTCTGGAATTCTAGTCCAATCATATACTTAAAGAATCATCTCCAAATGGTTTGGTCCCTCAAAGTCAGTAACACTGTTAAGCTATTAACGACCAGCCTCTGACAAGAATTTGGAAATAGTTTCAGCTATTCCAACTTGACAGTATATGAGTTGCTTTTATTTTGTATTTGTTTTTAAAACAGTTAGCGGAAGTCTGGGAAAAAATAATGTATTAGTAAAATGGTTCCCTTTAAATAGGCTATTCTATAATTTTATCAGTGAATACATAAAATAATCTATGATATTTTATTTATTTGGGAGCCTAAGAAGACAATGTTTTGTGTGTTTATTTTCTAACATTAGGAACTGACTGTCCATAACCTTACATTTTGGGTTCACCTCATTATTAAAATGGAGTTGAATTAAAACATATTTTTCTTTTCTAACCGTACTATACTTTTTCATCCAAAGGACCCATTTTTCCTCTTTCCCATTCTTATTTTAAACTCTTGTTTCCAAAAGAATCATGGAATCATAGAGTAGTTTGGGTTGGAAGGGACCTTGAAGATTATCTAGTTCCAACATCGTTATCAGGGTGGGACACCTTACACTAGGCCAGGTTGCTCAGAGCCTCGTCCAACCCAGCCTAGAAGACCTGTGGGGATGGATGGTCCACAACCTCTTTGGGCAATCTATTCCAGTGCCTCACCAGCCTCACTGTAAAGAATTTCTTCCTAATGTATAATCTAAACCTACCTACCTTCAGCTTAAGACCATTTCCCCTTGTCCTGTCATTACATGCCCTTTCAAAAAGTCCCTCACTAGACTTCTTGTAAGCCCTCTTTAGGTACTGGAAGGCTGCTGTAAGGTATCCCTGAAGCCTTCTTTTCTCCAGGCAGAACAGCCTCAACTCTCGCAATCTGTCTTCACAGGAGAGGTGCTCCAGCCCTCTGATCAACTTAGTGGCCTTCAATATCTTTCTTGTGCTGAGGACCACAGAGCCAGATGCAGTATTCCAGTTGGGATCTCACAAGAGCAGAGTAGAGGGGAGGAATCACCTCCCTTGACCTACCAGCTGATCATGCTTCTTTTGATACAGCCCAGGATACAGTTGGCTTTCTGGGCTGCAAGTGCACATTGCCAGGTCATGTTGAGCTTCTTGTCCACAAACACTCCCAAGTCCATTTACCCAGGGCTGCTCTCAATCCGTTCTCTGCCGAGCCTGTATTTCTGCTTGGGATTGCCTCAGTCCAGGTGCAACACCTTGCACTTGGCCTTGTTGAACTTTCTGAGGTTTGCAGAGACTCACCTCTCAAGCCTGTCAAGGTCCCTCTGGATGACATCCCTTCCCTCCGTTGTGTCAGCCGCACCACACAGCTTGGTGTCATCAGCAGACTTGGTGACGGTGTAGGAAATCCCGTTGTCCATGTCAGTGATAGAGATACCAATACAGACAACCTGAGGAAGAAGAAAGAAAACAGACAATTCTATATCTATTCCTTGACTTTAAAGATTAGTGTTACTTTGTTACTTCTTTCCTTTCTCTCTGTGGTATCATTGAAACATCATTAAACATTTGAAGCTGGTGGGTATGATTTGAAAAAAGAATTGAAGTTTTTTTAATCTAAAATTTTAAGTTTTTGAAGTAAAGGAATGCAGAGCTTTCAAAATCAGGTCTATATTTTCTCTTGCTATGTAAGAAAATCCCTTATGATTCTGACATCTATGGAAGAGGAGGAAGCTACATAATACTGTTTTTAATAACTTTTGTCACTACTTTTTCCTACTTTTCACTTTTCCCCTTCTAGAAACACAGACCAAATGAATGTTTTTAAGTAACTCATGTAGAAAGTTTGTATTATTTTTGTTTGTTTGTGCGTTGGTTTTATTGGTTTTATTTTCTTCACACCTTTATCTCTTCAGGAAGTGGGAATAAAGATCTGTCATATATTTTCCATTTGATAAATCCACAATGTATCTTGCTGCAGTAGTCTAATCTTCTACAGAAGAGCAGCTGCATTTCCACAGCATTTCATCTGTGGACAGCCTACCAGAATGCTGCCATTTCGCATATCCAGCAGTCCCACACACACTTTGGAGTGTGATTCTTTGGAGTGAAATGAGAAAATCTAATCAGTACTAAAAAAATTACTAGTCACCAAAAAAAAAAAAAAGGCACATTGATTTGTAGAAATAAAAGATTCTTACAGAATATCCATTTATCCAACAGTCCCATAAGCAAGTTTTACTGGAACTGCATCTTTCACCTTTCACCAAGCAAAACAAACCAAAACAAAACGTCGATACATGATACTGCAGTTTCCTTTTAACCTTTTAACAGTTGTAGCAGGGATATGAGTTTTTCTACTTTTCATATAATTAACTAGCATGCTGCAATTTTCCTCCATAATTGGGATACTTAACTGTATGATCTCCTGCTGTTTTAATGATTTGCATCTTCCCGTGTATTGTTTTTTTCTTGCTGAATCTCTACTGTTACTACACTAGAAGCTTGTATAGTCTATGTTCCTTTTGCTCCTGCTTTACTATTCTCATTTCCTCTTTGTTTAACTGATGAAAATAAGAGCTAAGAGTGAGCATTTTCCTTTTGTTACCTGTTTAACAGCACTTATGGTATTACAGGTCTTTTGCTAATATGCTTAACAGACTTCACACTGACCTACATAATACTGCTTTATGACAGATGTTGGCCTTTTTATATATATATATATCTGTAGTCAAGGAAATATTTCTTAATGATAAACTTAGAAGCACTGGCAGTTTGAGTTTTCATGAAGTTTCTAATACAGCTTGATCTTCCTTTTATTTCTTCATCACATTGTCACTGTTAGACATGTCTTGGGATTCTGGGAAATCTTCTATGATGTTCCTCTGCTGCGGAGAGTGGTAGGATAGCAAAAATCAGTTCATAAAGATTTTCGATGAGGTAGGAACAGAATCTCTTTCTGTCAGTAAATATGTAAAATAAAATGGTAGGTAAAATACCAAGACTGGTTATAAGTGGGATACATTGTGTGAAAGGGGTCTTTGTTGTAGAAAGAAATTCAATGTTTAACATGAAACCTGAACACTCAAATTTGAAATTACATGGCTGACAAGCTTCCCCAGGATTATTTTGACAGTCTTTCTTTTAAAGTTCAGCATATGCCAGTACATACTATATAATTAACAGTCTTTACATTTGCAATGCTAGTGTAAATGTAGGCTGTCTTTTTAATAGAAAGTTTTCTTAATTTTGAGATGAAAATGTTGCTGTGGTAGTGGACTGTGGCATGAAAATTGAAAAATTCTCCCATAACTATATTGTTGCAAGAACAGTGGTGAACAGTTCTCATTTACTACTCATTTACTACTCATTTACTGCTTGATCTCAAAAGATGATATTTTTTAAATGAATGAAGTTGTGACACATAAACTAATTCAGTTTATCCACAGTGTACCATAAACTCAGTAAACAATCAGCTGTCATTTAATGAAATTTAATCAAGAAACAACCTGCTCACTCTTTCTTTTTTTTTTTGTGCGGTGTTCGCATTGTTGTTATTTTAATTATTATTGTTAATAATTATCAGTATCATTTTCTTTCTTTTATTTCTATTATTCTTCACATTTTCATGAAACTCATCTATTCACCATTCCAGTTAGTTAAATTTTTGGAATGGTATCAGAGAAACTCCTTAGTCTTTCTATCTAAATTTACCACTAAATTGCCTTCTAATATTAGCATAAATATTATTTTTGTCAAAACATGCCATTCTGCCTATGGGTTGGGCTAGAGTACTGTATTTTGACATAATGTCCAAACATCAGTTAAGGGAAATCTACTAGTGGAATTCTGAAATTATTACTACTGATACTCTTAGAAAGACAGTTTGTCTAGTGTCTGATCTATCTGTTTGTAATGGTATTGCTTGAAAACAGTAATCATCAGCCCGAGATTGTCCCTTGAATAATTTTTTAAATTATTTATCTAGAATCTTGGGGAACAGCTTATACTTCATCTGATGTTTGTGACAGTGGAAGGAGGTAAACTAGAATCATTATCAGGAGAACCAGGTCAAAAAGTTGTGTTCATTTGGTTACTGACAGAAGAGCTGGGATAGAGGGAAGAGGAAAAAAATCAAAATGCAAGGAAAGGTGGAAGTAAAGAGATAGGACTAGGCTAAAGGATGGTGTTGTAAGTGGAAACAATGTAGCTGAGATGTCATAAGCCTCTCACTTATTTTCAGCACCGATACCCTAGAACATTATAGCATTTGCTGTTGTATATAACAAAGTGATTTGTGTTTTTCCTCCTGCAAACATATCATCCTAGTGAACAGTATAGTACCTTGGTAGAATTACCCATGAGAATATTTTAGCTAACTGAATATAACTTCATAAACAGTGAGAAATGCAGTTTTCATTAAAACAAGAAGGTGAAACATTGCAAACTCATTTCATTTTATGGCTAACAACTATTTTTTAACTCAGGGTAATTATCTTGAGTATGGGAAGGGGAAATACACTCATATTCATAGTTTTCTGGTTTGTTCTAATCTATTTATGCTTTTATTTTTAATCATAGGTTTCTGTGCTCGAGAGGCAGATATTTGACTTCCTTGGTTATCAGTGGGCACCTATCCTGGCAAATTTTATACATATTATTGTAGTCATACTTGGCTTATTTGGAACCATCCAGTATAGACCTCGTTACATAACAGGAGTAAGTACTGAATTTCATTTGCTTATTCTGATGTGCATGTATAAAACAAACAAACAAACAAAAAAGCGCTCCAAATTGTATTACTCATAAAGCAAATAGAAATCTCATCTTGAATTAATTTTCTTCTGTAACATTTTATATTAACTTATTATGCTTTTGGGAGACGTGCAACACAACTGGTAACTACCTACAAAAGCTGAAACTCAATATGATCCTTAACTGCATGACAATACAAACTTTCAAGAAGTAGAGTCAGTTTAAGAAATTACAACATCCTCACTATTAGAGGAATTTAGAGCTAGAGTAAATGCTAGCCATAGCTTTCCTATATACATTGGACCTCCTCAACAGAGCCATGATTTATTATAGTTATTCATTATTGTTATTAACCATTGTTGCTACAGTGCCTATCTGTTATCTATATGCCTACTAGAAGTTATAGTCCAACCTGAAAATGAAATGCGATGGTACGGTAAGAAATAATGAACTGAGGTCTCCAATATGAAAGCAAGAATTTGGACCTTAATTAATATTTTTTATCCATTTCTTTCCTTATTCAGCTACCTCTCATACAAAGACTTAGTATGGCTGTACTCAGGCACAATGCAGTATTAATTTAATCCTCATTTCATTCTCTGACTTTGTGGGGGTTTTGCCATTTGTAGTTCTATAAAGAAAGAATAACAGCAAGTCTTAAAGCCATCATTCAGAACACCTTCTGTTAGAAATAGATTTACATAACAATATTACTGTCAAAATCAACTATTAATTCACTTAAAGGTTGTATACATTTCAGAGACAGACAAGAGTTGAAAAGATTTTCCCATACACAACCATATTTTCATGTCAGATGAAAATTAGGAAATCTTAGAACAATAGAATGATTTGGGTTGAAAGGGAGCTTAAAGATTGTCTGGTTCCAGCCCAGCAGGGACACCTGCCACTAGACCAAGTTACTCTAAGCCCCATCCAACCTGGTCTTAAACACTTCCAGGAATGAAACATCCACCACTTCTTTGGGCAACATGTTTCAGGTTCTCACCAGACTACAGTAAAGGATTTTTCCTAGTATCTAATCTAAACCTATTCTCTTTCAGTTTAAAGCCATTACCCCTTGTCTCCAGTAACTCCACTGAATCTGCACCTACTTCTGCAAAGTCTGTTTCTTCTTATCTGTTCCTTCATATACCAGCAGTTACTCAGAATATAGAAAGATTTCACTTGTATTCTCTGCTACCATCCATATTGCATTACTTTGATGCTAAGAGAAGTACATTAATACTTTTGTCTGTGTTTCTATTTCTGTGATCTCCTATATGCAGAAAATGTGTGTCCACATGTGCAATGTCTTTATGCATGCACAAAATTTAATGTATTCCAAAAAATTTACCATCAATATTGAAAAATATATTGCAAGCCTTAAATATTTCATGTTTCCTTCAAGTTACGACACTGGAGTCATGTGAATGTGAACTAGAGTTTTCTTCCATTTCTGGTACTTTGACGAGTACAAAAAGCTTGAAAATAAATATCCAAAATTCAAATATCAGTTAAAGAAAAAGGGTTAAATGTTCCATCCCAAGACTATTCTGTGGCATAAAACTGATCATAAATATAAAATGCATAGCTGAACTAAACAAGTTAGATTTAAATTGCCTACTACTATGATAAGTGCATTGTGAATGAGGAGGAATACCAGCCTTATAAATTGAGATCATTTGCGTAAGTTTCTGGATAATGTGGTTTGTGCAACACTGTTCTATTAATTTTCATATAAGTCTTTCCCAGAACTCACCTTCACTGTGGAACCCATCTGGCTTTGTGCGTTTACCTCTCTGCATCCTTTTGGTGAATTGGATAGAACCAATCTAAGATCAAATTGTTTTTCTTGCTCGAAGTTTATAATAGACACTTGAATCTGCCATTTATCACAGACTGCTTAGATAAAAAAACACTGATGAAATTTTTATCCTTTATTTAGTTGGATAAACAGAGGAGTGCTTTAATTTTTTTTCATTTTTATTGCGGTTCTCTTTGGTCATTGAAGGGAGAGAGAAGGGAACTGCACCCTTTTATTTAGTTGTGTTGGGCCCAGAATAAATCAGTGGTGCCATCTGATATCAGGAATAAAGTTATGAGTTCAAAGACAACAAGAAAGACAACAACCTATAAGCCTGCAAGGGTGTAGCTATGAGGTTTTCAGGAGAGTGTGTGTAAATACTCGGAGTTCAATAGATTCTGCAAGGGTCAATCTATCCTGAGTGACTCTACAGAACCCTTAATCCAGTCACATTAGTACCTCAAGTCTAGCTTGCTTCAACAAGACTACAGAAAATTTCCTTTTTATTGTACATGCTTCATAAAGGATATCACAAAAATATTTTCCAGTGGAAGTGAATTATAGGTTAAAGAGAACAGGGAGATTTTAAGGTGAGGTTTAAATAAATGATTCAGTGGCTTAGGGAGAAGAGGAAATTAGTTTCAGACAGATGGAACACCACAACTGAAAGTGTCTCCTTGAACTTTCAAGAATGTCAGGGAAGTTTAGAAGTGGATGAGGGAAAAAGGTGACTGTGTCTTCTCGGGCACTGGAATATTGTTCAAACTACATGGGGTTCAGTAGTTGTGGTGGACAAAGAGGACAGGAAATTAAAGTCTAATATCATGAAAGTGGTTAATCTTAATATAGATTCAGAAAGAACACATTGATTTTTGATTGTAAACTTAAGCCATAAGCCAATAAATGAGCAATTGATGCAGGAGGTGAAACATCTGTTCTGAGGGTGGGAATAAGTCTTTTCAAAGATATCTTTTCAAAAGATAATAATTAAGCCATTTTTTGGTGAAAACAATTATGACAAAAGGACTGCTTAACAGCACTAATCTGAAACAGAGAATGAGGATTCCAGTAGGAACAAGGATTATCCAGGGTAACAACTGTGATGTAAATGTGGTGGGTTTTAGCATTAAAGTGCCTGAGAGGTAATACCAATGCAAGTTTTTAAGGGTTCTGGAAAGAAGCAAAGCACTTCACCTGGATAGGGCTCCACCTGGAGCTCAGTTTCTCCCCATTTCTTCTATAGAGGCATTACAGCTATGTTGATATACTGAGTGCATATTCCATATTCTACTATGGATTATTAGTCACCTGACTAATCTAGTGACCTTCTACAATGGAGTGACTGCATCAGTAGACAGGGGAAGAACTATGGATCTAATCTATCTAGACTTCTGTAAGGCTTGTGATGTGGTCCCCCACAACATTCTGCCTACTAAATTGGAGGAGTGGGTTAGATGGATAAGGAAGTGGCTGGATAGCTTTACCCAGAGAATGAAGTGGGTGGCTCAGTGTCATATTGGAAATCAGTAACAGGTGGTACTGGGATCAATAGTATTTAATATCTAATTTCCAATATAAAATTGAGCCACCCACTTTACTAGACAGTAAGACTGAATACACTCTCAACAAGTTTGCAGATGACACTAAGCTGACTGATGCACTTGATTAACTGGAAGAAACACATGTCGTCCAGAGGGACCTGGACACCATTGAACCTATGTGAACTTCATGAAGTTCAATAAGGTCAAGTGCAGGGTCCTGCCCCTTGGTCAGAGCAATCCTTGATATCAGTACAGACGAATGGATGAATGGATTGAGAGCAGCCCTACAGAGGACTTGTGGGTAGTGGTGAACAAAAATTAAACATAAGCCAGCAATGTGCGCTTACAACCCCAAAAGCCAATTATACCCTGGGCTGCATAAAAAGAAGCGTGAGCAGCAGAAAAAGGAGAGTGATTTTCCCTCTATACTTAACTCTTCTGAGACACCACCTGGATCACTATGTCCAGCTCTGTTGCCCACAGTACAAGAAAGACATGGACCTGTTAGAGCAGGTTCGGAGGAGGGCCATGAAAACAGTCAATGGGATGGAACATCTCTCCTATGAAGACAATCTGAGAGAGTTGGAGTTGATCAGCCTGTAGAAGAGAAGGCTCTGGGGACACCTTATGGCAACCTTTCAATATATAAGGGGGGCTAATAAGAAAGACAGAGGTCCTTTTACCAGGGCCTGTACTGACAGGACAAGGAACAATAGGTTTAAGCTGAAAAGGGTAGGTTTACGTTGAACATAAAGAAGAAAATGTTTACAATGAGAATGGCAAGACACTGGAATAGATCTACCAGAGTAGCTGGGGATGCCCCATCCTTGGAAGTATTCAAGGTCAGGTTGGATGGGGCTTTGAGGAACGTCATCTAATGAAAAAGATTTTTGCCCATGGCAGGGGACTAAATGACCTTTAAAGATCCCTTCCAGCCTTGTACCTGGTAACATTAAGTCTGGGAGAAAAGGATAGATTATTACTGGTACATGATTAAAAAAAAAAAAAAAAGAGAGAAAGAGGCAATTCCCTTATGTCTGAGCATCATCAGTCTGCCAAACCATTAGGCACTTGAGAGTATAGCTGAGTTAATCCATATCTTTTTAAAGACTAGACATTTTCAATCTCTCAACACACCTAGGGGGATCTACTTAATGCCCTATATAAAAAGTAGCCCTGACTCTACCAAATCTGTTTTGGAGTATTTCAGTTGTATATTGTAGTCACAGAATCACGGAATCAACTGGATTGGAAAAGACCTTCTAGATCATCGAGTGCAACCGCTTGATCCAACAGTGCCACGGTTACTAGACCATGGCACTAAGTGCCACATCCAGTCTCATCTTAAAAACCTCCAGGGACAGTGAATCCACCACCTCCCTGGGCAGCCCATTCCAATGTCCGATTACTCTCTCTGTAAAAAATTTCTTCCTAATATTTAACCTAAACCTCCTCTGGCATAGTTTAAGACCATTTTAATTGGTAATTTATTATCTTCCATTTTTTTAAATGTTTAAAATAGGATGTGAAAATGTGCGGCAGTTCATCTGTCCTATACCAGGGGACTTTCAAACAACTGTAATCATGCCATAGAAAATTGTGAAGCCAAACTATGCTCT